TTATAAATGTAATGGGATATATTTAGACAAAGAATTATTCTTATTTAATGTATTAAAAACTGGAACCTATGATAGCCTTATTATTTCTAAGACCAGAGATAGATTGGAAGTTATCTATTTTTCACATCTTTTCTTCTTTTACTTTACTTCACTTTTTCTCCTCTTTTTCTTTATTTTGTATTTCAAATTTTCTTTTCTATTTCTAACTTTTAAATATGTATCTTTAAAACTTCAATAAAAAATTATTTAAAAAATCACTCAAGTCGATCTATGCTGCATCTGGATTCTAATACACCTATAAAATGTACACCTCTTTTTAAATCATTAATGTGATTTTCAACAAATGCTTTCATGTATTTCAAATATTTCACTTACCTGGGAGAAATTTAACTTCTGAAACTTGGGATTCTTCCTCCAGACCAGTAAGAGTGATCTTTAGATTAAAGTTCTATTGAAATAATCATAATCATAACAACAACTGTATTTGAATATTTAGCATTTATAGTGAACAATCTTAAAAAACAATTACTTAAAAGTACAAAAAATAATAATTGTTTAAACATATGGTTTGCATCTTTACTTGTAGTACATTGCTGAACACCCTCAACTACTGAACAGAGATTTCTAGCTCTTTCCAAACTCTGCTTTAAATCATACTCGGATTATCCCATCACTTGAAAGACACTACTTCAGGTTCATAATCTACCAAAACCAATTTAACTGAACAGGCATGCAAACAGCTTTAAATGGTTTAATAATAGAACGGCAGGTTTGTTATAATCGCTACAAATTCTGCTTTAAGACTATCCATTTATTAGGAAATAAAAAATTGCATATTGTATTGAAAAAGATTAGCTTACCTTTCCCTGGTAATTATTCACAAAGCCTTTAGCAGTTATGCCATTAATGGCACAATTTGGTCCTCTATTTATTTCTTCATATTGTAATGCTAAACCACTACAAAATAAAATTTATAATAAATGGAAGAAATCAGTGACTGTGGCGATTTTAATTTTAGCTGTCATTTATAAGATAAAGGGTTATGTTTCAGTAACAATTTTGTCTAATTCCTCTGAGAGACCAAATTAAATGTGGTCATTAAATGTGATCGATAGACAGACAGACAGAAAGTGGCATAACTGTATTTATAGAGTGAAAGACCTCCTCTCCTGGAAGTCTTCTGGGTCTATGCAGCCTGGCTAGGTCACCTTGCTTCAGAGTAGCAGTTCGGTATATCCTGCAGCTAGTACCTATCTTCCAGGAAGCCTCTTGCCCTGGCATCCTCTACCATATAGTATGTGTGAGAAATAGTCTCCTCACCATCTATATTACCTTACTGGCAATGAAAGGTAAACATGAGAAAAAGTCTCCTGGCCTTGTAGTAGAAAGGTATGTGACTGGACAGTTTTAATTCTACTCCTCTTTTGGGAAACAGACCAAATCTCACAAGAGATAAACAAAATCAAAGCTTTATTTTAAAAGACGATACTATAAAAATATGTTAAACTTTCAATACTCAAAATGCAAACCTTCAGTGTTGAATGATACAGCTGCAACTTGGTCAAAAAGGGGAAAAAAACACCAATCCTCAAATAACAATGTAATGCCTGAATAGACCAAACGATGGCAGTGGTCAAATTATTACAAAAACAGGTAGTTCCTGCTTAATGACTTGGGACTGGAATCTCAATCATTGAGTGAAGCAATCATTAAGCAAGACACCCACATGTCTGCTTCGCTGAATGACTATAATTCAGGCATTCTTTGAGAATAAAAGGGCTACCTGCTAGAGGGTTCCACCTTGTCCCCTCCGCTTGCAACCTTCCCCAACGGCTTCCCCGTTGACTTTCTGGGGAAGCCAGCAGAGAAGATTGCAAATGGTGACTGAGTGATCGTGGGGCACTTGGCAGCTGGTCGTAAATGCAAGCTGGTTGCCAAGTGCCTGAAATGCAGCCACATGACT